TTTATTGTATACTTTGATCCTACATGAATGATCTTCATTGTAGAAGGATATACAATTGTCTCCAACCTTTTTTCTATCATCAACAATATCTTCTGCCTTTATTCCATGATTTAATATATGTTTAAGAACATCTTTTCTAGTAGTAACATAGGGTATATCTTGGGATATATCTCTATCATGTAAGATAATTTCATCACAAATAGTTTCTCTTAGGAACTTTATTATATTTTCAATAGAAACTTCAGATAGTGAAATTTTGTATGAGATGTAGGGAGTGTCTTTAGGTGCAATATCATTATTTTTGAGAGTATCCAAGAATAGTAATTTGATCTTAAAGGAAAGTGAGAAATATACCTTGCATTTTCTATATATATCATTTCTAAAGTCCCCCCCAATAGACCATAGAATTACATTGTCACAAAAAATATGTGAAGTGTTAGAGGATTCAAAAGATAGTCTAATAGCTTCCAAAGGATCATGATATTTGGTATCCAGAACATCAGGTATACTGAACTCTTTCATAATTTCAATAGATTCTTTAAGTGCTTCACTTGCCATAGGGTGATGTAATAGATACTTTCTCATGGCACTCTTTTCAATTTTATGAGACATCCATTAGGGGGGTATTTATAATTACTATAATCTCAAATATTTACTAATAAAAGTCTTATTTTTACAAAACTCCATCTTTAAATAGTGATATCTATTCTGAAAAAATTATATCATCAAAAAACAACCATCAGAAATAGTTCTCCATATTACATCTTATACAACCCATAGTTATTTAACAAATTCCATTGTATATAATTTCCTTCCTTTTACAGATGCCTACTAATACATACTTTTATTAGTACTTTGTTTTTTAAAAGTTGTAATGTAGTTATTTCCATGTAAAATATGTAAAATATTATTGGAAATTTTTCATCCCACAGCTGTCTTTATTAAGTAAAACCCCCTATATAGTGAATAGCAAAACTTGAAGATCTTCAAGCTTTTTATAGCTTGTGGTCCTAGATAAGTGCACAGAATGTGGAAAAAAGATTAAATTAAATAATGGTGAAAAGGATGATTGTCATCCTGGACAAAAGGGAGTTCAGGAAATAAAAACCTGCCATAAACAAAGGGAGGAAAATAGAACATAGCTTGCATTGTATCAATTAAGCATACATAAAGCACAAATGATCTAAGTTTCACTTGGTTGGCAGGTATTCCTTTATTATGATTATAATTTCTGTTTATTATTTACAGTGTGTTTCAATGACAAGTATGAAAATCATCATATTATGAGTACTGACTATCCCACTTTTGGCCCTGATGCCAGTAAGTCTGGTGTAAATTTCTATCAGAGATCAGCCACTAACTTACCATGTGCAGAAACATGACCTGCCACCATCTATATATGTATATTGTGATCACCTTGAGGCCACATATCCTGATGATGATGGAAGCCACTGTTGCCACATGTTAAGATCTAAGCTAAAAGGGGAAGGGGGGCTCTAACTCAGGGATCCAATGATTGGAAATGAGTGTTACAACTGGAAAACCTGTTGGGACCTGGACCCCATTCTATTCATGCTGACTCTCTGTCTCATCTGAATGATGCCCCAGACCCCACCTGGACATTCCAGACCCCCTTGTTCTCAATCTGTCTTTGCCCATTTGTCATCTGGTTTAGTTTACTGCCATTTTTCCCTATCTGTTTGACATCTGGTTTATTTTCTTATTGTACTCTTGATATGTATGTCCATTTGTATGTCTAAGTTAGTAGTACAATAATCCACTAGTCTATATAGTCCAGTAGTTATTTATACATACAATCTGATCAGAAATTAACTTAGTTTCTACTTGTCTTTTGCTCCCTGCATATTCTCAGAACACATGGGTTTCGTGTCCACTCCTGTTTGAAATTGGACAATGTGATCTGCAAAGGTGCAGCACATAAGCTGAAGCTGTGTCCTTCCCAGAACTTCCATGGGTTTCCCCAGAGACCAACCTGTGAGCTCTGCACTTAACAATGAGCTAATCGGGGGGCTGATGATAGAGATTGTACTAGTTGGGAGGTCTGTTAAGGTGCATGCAGAGCTTAGCAGAGGGTTTCCAGAGAAACCCATGGATAATCTGGTAGGACTTGGCTTCAGCTTATAGGCTGCACAGTCACGAGATCATAGTGTCCAATTTCAAACAGGTGGATGGGAAACCTGGGGAGTCCCGGTGTAGTTGATAGATCAAGGGTTGATAGGTCAAAAGACCAGTTGGGAAGCCCACAGACTCCGATGAGGTCAATAGTGATGTAGAGAGTTCAATCGGAAAGTAACCTATATGGCTATAGTTTCAAGTCACATCACAAGCACAAATTCTTATATATACTTTGGCACTCAAGATGACTTCTACACAGCCAAATCAGTTTCAGCAATCAGATGTGCAAAAACTCCATCATGTTCAACACTGCATCATCCTTCAAAGTAACCCTCAGTTCCTACTCGAAACCAACTCCACACTTCCTAATAGAACTTGAAGAAGTGACATCTTGATTCTCTTCATGCTCAGACATCATACATGCGCCCAAACTAGCCTATTCATACTCCTCAAAAGAACACCATCGTTACCTCTGTCAAAAAGGTATTCAACCCCTGTATGCTCCAGATGATCCTGTCTTTATTTATCTATATGATAACTCCCATGAACTCTTCCACTATCAATTCAATCGAGTACTCTGGAAAGAGTGTTCCCCATCATCACAGGGATTCTTTTACGAGACAGTGTTCACTCCAGTAGGAGATCATAGAGGACCCTCATTGAGGATCTTCCCAGTTCCAGAAGGGAGTCAAGTAGATCATCATCAAGGTCATCATCAATTCATGTTCCTTGCATGGTTGTGGAGCCTACTCACCACCTGGTTTTAATGTGGTGATTGATTGTGTGCCCCCCTTTATGCTGCAAGATTAGGAACAGAACACATCCAATCTTGGTTCATTGATTGGTAGTATTGTCAAGATTTCAAATTCAAGCATAGCATTTGAGGGTGACACATTGTCATGAGATTCTTGGGTGTTTCTGACTCATTATCATCGATCTTTCATCAGCCATCACTTCTATCACTCCATCTCTCCTATTGTCTGACTCAGTTGCCCCTATTGTTCTATTGTGTTTCCCCATTTATCCATATCAAATGTCATCTTTTGTTTGTCATTCTCTTATTGTCTGACACAGCCTTCCTCTTTTATTATTCACAGCTTTACCAACATTCTTATTGTGATGACTCAGAGATGACTCCCACCATATCACATCATTATTGTGTTGTCATTTGTAGATGTTTGTTTTGACCTGTGCTTCCTCATGTATACAAGGGCCTCTCTTTTGCCCACTATTTAACAAGCAATTTCATTGTATCTCATTTCAAAGCTCAATCGTAAGTCAGAAGCTTAAGTCTTACTCTTAGTCCTACTCCTATGGCCAGTAAAGGATACTGTAGTGTCTCTTATTGTTGAAGTTCTACACTCCTCGACATTGGGCTTATGTCAGACTTTTGTATTCATATTCAATTACATCATCCAAGATCTGATCTCTAGCCTCTCGCTCTGAGTGTGTTTGGTTATAGACTGGTTTCAAGAATGACTGTGACCATCATAAAGACTTGACCATTGCATGCAGGTGGTTATTAGGTATATTCCTAGTAACTAACTTACAGTGAGTGTTGTGATATGAGAGATGGGGATGGAGTGGGGACCAGTTGGAAAGCCCACGGGCTCTGACAAGGTCGATAGGGTTGTGAGATGGGGATGGAGTGGGTATATGCTAAGTAACTGGGGGAGGACTTAGTCTGAAAACTTAGTTGATTTTCTGACCAGATTGTATGTACAACATTAGCTAGCTGTAGAATGTATGCAATACCAAATCTGGTAATAATGACATCCAAACAAGTAATCATGAAATGAGATAAGTAAACACCAAATTAGGTGTTAGGGGTGGAACAGAATGGAGGTGGAGTCTGGAACATGACAGGTCATTAGACCATAACAGGAATGGGGCTCAGTTAGAGAACTGTCGGGTTATCTGGGTGGACCCCAGTGACTAGGTACATGGAACAGAGTTGGACATAGACAGGCTTTGCCTGGGTCCTGGCAGAGTCCAATGAGTGATGCACAAGACACAGAGGGTTGGGTGTAGACAGGCTTGATGTCTGGGTCCCGGCAGGTTTTCTGGTTTAGTTGTAACTTGGCATAGCAAGTTAGGTGCATGTAGGATGGGGTCCAGAGCCCAGAAGGTTTTCTGGTCCTAACAAGGTCCAACTCTATAAACATAGTGGAGCTTGGCTTCAACTTATGTATTGCACCCTCATGCAAACTGTCAGAGTGCTCCAGTATTTCAAACAGAGTGGGTAGTATGATAGAGATGAAGTTTAACACTTAGTGCAATCGACCAGTGGGCTGAAATACTCAGAGTTGTAAGGTAAGAGTTCATGGCTTACTGAAGAATGTCTTTGAGGGTATTGAGAAGGGAGAAATGAGAGCATCAACATTGCTTAGGATGTTGACCTGGGGAATAAATTATTAGGATCATTGAAGGACTGATAGAAGGCAGCAGCTAGGTAGCCCCAAGAATGCTCAAGGTCAATGACTATCATTGTTGGATAATTGAACTAGATACATATATGTATATTGTGTTGTTATCAGAGACCCAAGGATTGGGGCAGTTTTCCCTGCCCAAGCACAGATGTCTCCTCCAATGTATGTAAGTCAAGAGACATCACTGAGACCACAGGAAGATGACTTGAGCATCAATTATTGTAGTGAGATGGCTATTTTGGACATAACAGCCAGATACATATGTATATGCCTCAACACAAAAAAAGCATGAAAGAGAACACCTCACTTAGCAAAGTTGACTTATAAACAATTGCCCATGTTGCTGATATCTTGACTTCAATTGAAGCCCAGTGGAGTTGACATAACTTTTTGACTGCCTGAGAGGCCAAAGCTATGTTAAAATGTAGAAGTGAATGGGCAGACTGGAAATTGAACCCAGGGTCTTCTACATATATAGCAAAGATGTTACCAGTACACCACCTGACCTTGGGTAGCTCTGGACTTACACTGTACTTAAGGATGTAACCTTTAGCACCATTCCTATTAGATTATATACACACTGAACTCAGAGCTGGATAGGATAGTTGGAACAGCAATTGGTAATTACATAATCTAACAAACTAAGGGGGAGTAGATCCCAGACTCTTCCCAGCACTTAATACTTTTACTGTTGTTACCATTCTAATCTGCAGAAGCAGAAACGTGTGCTTAGTGTTAGTCGTCATAGGCGGGTTTTGTTATCATGTCATACATTATCAACAGAAATGACAGAATAACTCAAGATAATCTTATAGTTAAGACCAGTGCTTAGTAATTGTAAGATTAACACAACTCCTTTGTCAAAGGCGAAAGAACGAACGACTTCAAAAATCCCCAGACGACTTACGAATATGGGATAGATGTACCAACTCGAGTGTCCCATTTCTAAACAGATGCATTTTCCACTATCACCTATATTTCACTCTACTTGTCCAACTTAACGACGTACAAACCAATATTGGAGTCGGATGTTCGTGTCAATTTTTGATATAAAAAATTGCGCCTCGACTTTTGGCAGTCATACCAAGGTTCCAAATGGATTGAACTTAAGCCCAAACTGATGGTAGGTTTACTTAGACATTTTAAAATCAGGGAGGTCCAAAAGCGAAGGAAGGACATATCTTGTATGTAGAAACTCCCATAACAAGGAGTACTGCGCCTTTTCGCTGGCCTTCCCTCTATGTCCCCAACGAAGTAAGTGCGATCCGATGCGAATGGGAACGAACATGCCTGGGTACACAACTCTTGTTTAGGCGGCTCGTTTACATATTCGAATCGTTGTAGCAGCTTCAATAAGCCATGTTAAAACCATCGTGCTCAGATCGGACATTCGCAAGATCTCCTGTGGGTATGTTGACTGGCAGTTATTTGATACATTAGGTTTACATTAATAGGCGGTTAATATAGCGTATCGTCTAAAGGGAGTGTATTACCACATCAGGGATATATCATCACTGGATGCGCTAATACAGGTCGTTGGACGCCTGCCGTCATTTCACACGTGGTATTAGGCGGTGCAATCGGAGTGGTCGTTGTAATCATTTTCTCTTTTGGCTTCTGCGGGTGGAGACCGAGAGCCAAAGCAGCGACTAGGGGCTGAAAGACATAAATCCAATAAGTAACATGTAGAGTTGTTCTCGGATAACAAGACTGACGGTCATGAATAAGCCGAGTACCGCTGCGAAGACGCCCTTTATTACTTGGGGGGTCCATGTACCATGCATATCAATGCCGCCGTATAAGGCTTGTGAGCGATTGGTGAATTAGTATGATTATTAGTTAGGAGTACGCCTTACGAGCTAAGATGGCGATTAATAGGGGCCAGCAGACGAAATAGATTGCGCTGAAGACAAATGCTGTATATTCTTGTCAGAAAAATGGCCCATGTGTAACAACACGAAAATACCTCGAATGCACACCAAAACGAACGATTTAAGAAATCCTCGACATCTTTCATGCAAGAAAAGGTTTTCCTTGGGCACAATGAATTCAAGCACTACATACCGTCTTATTGAAAAGAACATACAAGTGCACAAGTACACATACCATTTCCTACCCACCGTCTTATTGGGCCGCCACTTCGCCACCAGACCATATCAGGGAATGGAAACTGGAATGATTCTACCATCCCAGTACGCAAATCGTGTCTAACCAACAGACCCGCGATGATGTATGTTAACATTCCTTGTATTACAATGGTGAGTCCTGCGTCCCCTGCGATGGTATGTTCTGCCCCAAGTTGAAATGAGCTGAACCCACAATACCAGAGTACACCTACTATTTAGCTGCCATAATCTAATTTCATTGTGCGCCCCTCTATACATGGCACATGCTGTTGGTCAATAATGTCAAAACAACTCGCAAAGAATTCTAAACTGTTAAGGCAGAATACCAAGTCCAAAATTAATTCCTCCATCCAATATGGCAGAACCAACTCCTTGAAAAATCGTCAAGTAGCTGGCGAATATAGGGTGAGTGTCAGCAAACAGATTTAAGGACAGTAAAACGCACAGCATTTGTCTATTAGTAAGCTTTCGCGATGTATCATACTCCCGCAATTCCAAAGCCAACGGTTGCCTTTCAAGGTCTGACAGGATATTAGCCATTGGGAACTTTGAAGTGGTGGTTGGAAGCAGGGGCAAATCCGACCTTAACGAGCCTTTCGAAATATAGTCGATGTCGAACCATTCGATTATAATAATCTGGACGAAAGCAGAAGCGCTGACCAAACGGGTTTATCTCCGATGACACTTTAGCACTCCTATCTGAACAACCGATCATCAAACGGTTTATTCACGTAAAATAAATATTTACTAATAATAATTAAGGCATTTTCTGGTACACTATGACTAGCCAGGGCAAGACTAGTTCGTACTTTCTTAGTCTGAAACATCACGTGACATGCCGATTGTCACATCTGTTGAGATTATTTGCGCAGTTCTATTAAAAGAATGAAGATAGTTAGTATCAATCACTACATATAAAACCAAGTTAATCGTACCTCTCAGTGAGTGGTAACTCCACTGAGAGATTACGCTAGTGCGCGCTAAGCTAAAATACCTCGTACGTCCATGTTCCTGAACTGTACAGGTGCTTTAGCTGATTACTATGTTCCTAATTACATAATATGCTGATCTAATACTTTTTATTTCAATAGTATCTTCATCATGAATTTGTCGTAAAAGATGGGAGAACCTTAATTTCACTTAATATGAAGATATGCATACGGATACTTGTTGAGTGATCTCCTAATATTATGAGGAATTTGCATGTTGAGGTTAAATGCAATGACGTAAAGGCTGGGGTTTCACTATGAAATAATAGTTAGCTTTCCAGATATAAAGAAATATTCACGGTGAGTAACAGGCCGTAGGAAATAATTCGTGAAAAGATTGTATTTGTCACTCAGCAAGGCAACACAAAGTGGGCTCCCCGAGTTTGGGTTGTAAATGTAAATATTGAATAATCATCGGTAACAGGCAAGCATTTATCAAAAATTTTGTGAAAATGAACTTACATGTAGTATATAGCCATAAACCATGAAGAGTGAGGTTGGGCTCGTACCTGGCTGTCACCTTTTTTCTTTTAATTTAGACCCAAAACACCTATATATAGACTATATAGACATTTTATCCCACCATCTGCCCCATTCTATCCTTTCTGCCAAAGCCCCAAAGATCAAACATCCTTTGTATTGGAAATGGTGATGAAACACTCACCTCTCTAGGGGCGGTTCACCCTTCTCCATCTACCAAATACTTGAAAATGCATGATGTGGATTATGTGAGGTAATGCATGATTTAACTCATGTACACCTAAACTATCACCAAACCTATCATGTCAGAAGGTGACTCACTGATTGACACATTGATTGATACAAGTTATTCATTAAAAGCTTATTAAACCCTTGAAGTTTGTGCATTTACAATAAGCCAACTCATACTATTTTAATGCTCCAAGCTGTTTTTTTTTCTGGATGGGTGTCACAGTAAAACTGGATGTCTTTGGCCACGGCACTCATCTCCACCAATGCATTTGGATCTGATTAACTGACTCATGCGGTGATCTATGATTCACTGGATGCAAGAGTATCTTCTAGACCAGATGGAAGTCAATGCACTGATGACTTTCAGGTGCTGCTTTTACGCGAGGATGATATTTGAAACATTGCAGGCAGACACGGAAATTAAAGTTAGAAATGCAATCGTCGAGTCTCGAAACCTCATTCACCAAATCAATATAGTCAAATGTTCCATATGCTTAAATCTACACAGTGAAAAAAAAAATGATTAGTGGAATCTTGCTCCGTATTAATCGACCATTTTCTACGAGAGCTTGTACCGCAAGTCATCTAAAAACTCCAACAAATCAACGTTTAACTTACCTGAATGCAGCTAATTTAGGTTAGCTCTTCCTACTAATGTAGAGCTATTTGACAACGATGTGGTCAGAATAAACCGTTCGAACCCCACAGAAATCTCGAATCGTGGCGCTGAGGACCTTACCCGATCTCTGAATCCCAATTTTGACGAGTGGCTCTATTTCCTGTATCAATGGACCTGCTTTAATGCTTACTGAACTTCACAACAAAATTTATCATGATTCGTGAGCTGACTTTTTGTTATTGAGTTGGGTATTTGACAGCGAAAAAAAACCGCACAATGCCCAGGGGCGGGTGCTGGATTCGTCACACCACAGACAACACGCCGGAAATACCTGAATAAATGTACGTGTTATTGCTACTCATCTCTCATATTTGTGATTCGATACTTTATGCTGGTCAAAAGTCCTTACCGTTTCATGTCCTAAGCTTTAGGACGACTCCTCCGATTCCAGGGCCGTTGTGATACTCATAAGTGTTCCCCTCTCAACATCTAATCTAAATTACACTTTCAATACATTATCCTCAAACCTGGTCCCAGCGTTAATTCAAAACATTGCTTCAGAATATGAGTCCGTCACAATACGATGAGTGTACCTTGAATGAAACTTGTTCACATTGTGCGGCCCTGATTGATTGTCATACCTTGAAGGCCTTCCACCAAACAAGGTGATACATATTATATGTGTTTGCAAGTATCATGTACAACAAACACATTATAACCGTCTGGCATTATTTTAACTACTGACTGGACACTGCAGGACGCTTCGTCATGGGTGTTGGAGATACACTGAAGGAAATGTCTCCCTTATGAAATATATATTGTATCTTCCTCCGATGAATTTTAGAATTTCTGTACACTGTTGACGACTTTGTTATCCAGTGGTCGATGCTTGCACCAGTAGGGTCAAGCAATATGCCCAAACCCGTAGCTACTTGGAGGTGGAACACTTATTGAGGTGTATCGAATTCGAAGATAAGGAGATTCTTTAGTATATAGAACAAGTATAGGAATGGATTCAATGGGCATACTAGTTGAGTGCATAAGACCCACAGCCTAAATATT